AAGCACTAATATAGATAGTACTTTAATTCCTACTTTAATTATATTACTGCATATGTAAGTGCAGTTATTTCAAAGACCAATAGATCTTTATTAATTTAAAAAATAAATAAAATCGTTTAACTGTACTACAAAGTTGTGGACAAATTGGCCACTATGATAATATGTGTCATTAATTGTATTTGAAAAAATCTTATTACAAAATTATGAAGTCTGAATTTCATAATTAAACATGTAACACGCAATGCAATATACTTGATATAGTTAATAAATTTCACCTTTTAATATTTTACTCCAAATATCAATGCAGATAAAAATGGCAGGTGATTTCCGGTCCATTGGGGTGGTCGGTCCAGTTGCCGCCGTCGTGTGGTTCTTGGTGATTGCCGGTCGCGGGAAGGGTTTTATCAAGCTTTAGTTTTTAGTTATCTTTTGTTTATTATTGTGGGTTTAGTAGTGTTGTTTTTTAATGTTTGTTGTCTAGTGTTGTTTTGTTGTTTTAGGCTTGGATTGTAGTTTTTTGTGGGTTGGTGTTTTTTGGTTGGGTTGTTTCGGTGTAATAAGGGCGTTCTCTCTTGAGGGGGAGAGCGTGTTTTCTCCCGTCGGGAAGGGGTATTCTCTCGTAGGGGAGGGTGTAGTCTCATGTTGGGGAGTTTTTCTCTAGTTGTAGAGTTTGTTTGTGTTTTTTTTGTTTTTTTTAGTGGGTGCGTTGTTCTAGTTGAACTTCTAGACGATCCTTTGAATTTGTCCTCCCACTAAATTCGGTTTTTGAACTGTTTTTTCGGCTTTTGAGCTATTTCTAGATGTATGTAGGTGTTTTTTATCTATTAAATTTCTATCATTTGAAAAAAAAAAAAANNNAAAAAAAAAAAAAAAACAGGTGAAAATAAATTTTACGTCAAAAACCCCATGTTACCTAGAATTCATTGTTCTCACTTGTCACCAGAATTCTAGTTAAAAAGTTTCGTACGTGGCAGACTATCATTGGTTGGCAGCGGTTGCATGATAAGCGGAAATCACATCATTATAGCATTTGAGCTGAGTTATCGCGGCCCTATACAGTCCACAAGGGAAGGGGTCCCCACATCCCACAATCCCATCCGTCAGATCTGACCGTACATTTTGAATCATGATATCCATTTTTATGCAACCCACTTTTATCATTTTTATTTTTAATATTTTTAGAAACTCGATTATATAACATGCATGCACTTGCAATTAAATGATGAATTGATGATATTTCAATAATAATAATAATAATAATAATAAATTAATAATAATAATAATAATAATATCAATAATGATTTTTTCTGGGTGAGATAATCTAATCCGTTATTCTTTATTTTATTTTTATTTTCGAATCCACCTGCAAAATAATGTGCAAAGGAGCTCCCTTAACTATCTTTATATTTAATTATTTTAAATATAATCAATATAATTAAATAATATTCAATTAATCTAACATGTCACATCAATTTTATTTCAATGTTGATATACTCGCGTATTTTTAACTAACAATCAAATTCAAACATTCATCTTGTACGTTTGCATCACATTATTTCAACTAATTTCTAAGCACAAACTCAAAATTTAATCCAAAACTCCACTCAATGACTAATTTTATTCAACTTTAATTCACTAAATAATCAAAATCACATCCAAAAAAACTTGTATCTAATCACAACTTGAATACTTATGAGTCATGGTTGTAAGAAACGAGAGGAAAAACGTGTGCGGTTGCACGCAGATAAAGTGCAATATGACAAAAAAAGTTCAGATGAAGCGAAGTGAGATTTCATCTCAAAACCAATTGGTAGAAAGTGGACTAGTCACCCACAAGACTTATAAATTAGACCTATTTTCCATAAATAAATGATGTGAGACAACAAGTGAATATTATAATACGCCACTTCACTTGTGAGTTTTTCATAAGAAGCCCAAACCCATATACGGAGCTGGGATCTCAAGCCCAACTAAGCCGAAAAAACGAGTACGTCATCGCATGGTCCTAATAGAATTGACTCTGATACCATGTAAGAAACAGGGGGAAAAAACGAGTGTGGTCCTACGCAGATGAAACACATCATGACAGAGAAAGCCCAGAATGATACCCAAGTGATATATGTTTCGTCCCGAAATCATTCGGTAGAAGAAGGAGTATCCCACTAGACTTGTTAATTAGGCTTATTTTTCCTAAATAAACGATGTGAGACAACTCACAAGTGAATATTCTAATAATGGTCAAGTTGTGCCAATATTTTAGATGTTTATGAAATATGAATATTTATAGTATCAAAAAATGTCATCCTTTTATTTGTGTTATTTTAAAATACAACTATAAAATACTAAGAAGAGTATGATGGCCTAATTATTAAGGCTATGTTTGGTAGACCAATAAGTTAGCTTATAGCTTATTCGATTAACTTATAAGCTCAATGTATTTAAATAAGCTCCATTTGGTAGGACGAGCTTATTTAAAAAGCTCGAGCTTATTTGATAAGCTTACTTAGGTAACTTTTCAAATAGACTAGTTGATTTTTTTATTCCAGCTAGCTTATCAGCTAATTTTACCAAACACTTTTGTCATATAAGCTAGCTTATCAGCTATAAGTCATAAGCTATAAGTTATAAGCTAAAAAATTACTAATAAGCTATAACTAGCTTATCATCTAGTTTTATCAAACATAGTGTAAATATACTATACGATACAGAAAATCTACTCTTAGTAGTTAATAATTATTCTTTTTACGAATCGCTTGTCCGAATATTACAGCCATATGGCTTGACTGGAATATTATGAATTTTAAAATTGTTCTAAAGTTGTTTATGTATGCCATTTGATCGAGTGTTAGATAAAAACGGGTATTATATTTATTCCTTTGGTTGGGTACTGTTAGATAATACATACTCCCTCTTATTCATTATAAATGTCGTTTTGACTTTTTTGATTCATTCATTTTGTTATATATCTAGACATATTAATGTCTAGATACATAATAAAATGGATGAATCACAAAAATCAAAACGACATTTATAATGAACAGGAGGTAGTATAAATTAATAATTTATATGCATATTAATTAAACGTCTTTACTTATGGATTTAGATTATTAATGTCATAAAGTTACATTTCACATGCTATTTTCCAAATTCCAAATGTCAATAAAATTCCGATATGTTAATATATCGAATTTTATTTACATTTTTACTCCCTATTTTGTTTTTCCCCTCCCCAAAAAATAAAATTACATAAAATAAAAATATCAACATCGTGTATCAAATTATGAGTCAAAGTATAAATAATATCAACTCTTGAGGGAGAGCTTTGCCTCACTTGTGGTCCTACCCGGCTCGATTCCGGATTAGTCGGTTCTCCTGTGGATCCGGAAACCGGAAGGTTCCTGTACCAAAAAAAAAGTATAAATAATAATGGTCCAACATAATTGGTTTTTGAATCATATGTTCTAATCCAAATAATTATGGAATTAAAGTTTAATGATACTGCACAATTATTTTTTTGAATCTTATACGCAATTAAAAGAGTTATATGGACTTTGATAAGGGCCACATTGGCGTTTGGATAAAAATATATCCCCTTAAAATGAATTTTTTTGTTAATCAGAACTAATTTTAAAAATTGTGATATAATTAGTTGCTAATAAAATTTTAATTTTATATTACAATAATAAAATAATTAGTGTTGATTTGATGTGGAAGTAAGAAAGAGATGACGTGAGGAGATATAGTTAAAATTGTGTGAATGAAGTGAATTAAAGTTGATGATATGTGTAAGAATATTGATTGATTGATTTATTTTATTTGTTATATTAATAATATTGAAGATAATTAGTTTGTGTTAAAGTTGAATTAAATTTGAGTATGAGTGGAACATGAATTGAATTTTTTATAATTAAACACACGCTTAGACACACATTATTGAGAATCATATTTATCAAACCACACACATATATAAACTAATAAAATGTTATACTAAAAAAAGTTAAAAAAATCATATGAATAAAAGATATGATATTTCATAATATTATAGAATATTTCCATTCAAATAATATGACATTTCATCTGTTTAATCTTAAGACGTCTTTCGTAAAAAAAATATATTTTTAAACCGAAGTGCCGGGTAACAATTTAAAAAAAAATACATTTAAGAAAATTGAAATATTTTTAAAATTGTGATTCATTATAAAACAAAAAACCAAATTTACTAGATTTAATGGGATAAAAATCATAAAATTTTAATTAGTAGTGATTGATAATTGTTTTTTTTTTTTAATTTTCTTATTGTATTAGTAAAATTAAAAAGTGAAATACAATAAATGATCATTTCAAAATATACCAATTTCGCCCCTTCCCATTGGCAACGTCCCTAGACGTGGCCAGGTGCCGGTTTCGGCCCGCCGGGCCACGGGCCCTCAAACAGTCGAACCGCAACCGGCCCGCTAGGAACGAAGGGCCGGTTCGTAGAACAGGCCCGAA